CAGTAATAGGTATCATGGATTGGTGTGAAATATCTTATTTCCTGGAGCTATCTGTTCTTAGAGTTGAATGCATTTATAGAAAATAATTCTCTGAAAAGTTATCTGTAGAAGATCCCAAGCATATTAGGATGATGAAAAAGTGGGTGCTGTTGCATTAAGGAGGTGATAACAGGAGGCAGGTAGCAGCTTTCTCACCTCTTCACCTCACTTGATAATGTATGCAGTGGCTCATCATAGGTAACTGATGTTAATTTATTCACGCACACCTGTATAGGGCTGGAAGTCAGGTAACCAGACAAGACCTATGTCTCTGCTTTTTCAACACAGCTAACCAGAGACCTATATCTGCACAAATTTAGTTCTGGAGACATCAGCAGATTTTAATAAACCACGTACAGATGTCTTACTCCATACAAATCAAGGAGTTTACATGTTTAAATCTGGACTGATTTAACTGGCAATCAAGGGGCATGATCACACTTGGCACAAACAGTTGCCTCATGTTTATTTATAAGTCACCCTAAGCAAATATTTTGTTTTTAAATTTATTCATGGGGCTCAATCACCTTTCCTACATGTGAGTATGTGTGTGTGTATGTGGAACACACACATACACTCTGTGAGAAAATTTAAAGACAAATTTGAGCAATTAATAGTCCTACTTTAGTAGCAGAAAGACAAAGTGAAAAGTTCTTGCTTTGTTCCTCTGAATGGATGCACTGAGAACTTGCATACACTGAGAGAAAGTAAAACATGGTAACATATGCTAATGTTATGTCCTAGCTTAAGATAGACTTAGTGTCAGTACTGAGGTTAAATGGGGATTCAGCATGCACTGAGGCTGACAAAGAAGATGCCTGTGTTTCTCCTTGAGATCCAACAGTAATTTCTCAACAAGGCTCACTGAAGGCAGAGGGTCCACCCACCTCCCGTTTCAGCAATGTGACCACAAAATTCTTGGCTTTTAAAGGTGAGAGACAGAAATGAAGCCAACTGCCTTAAGTTTCACCTTCCAGACCTTCACCTTTGCATGCAGTCTCCAACACAGACTCTTAGATGAAACTTTGGACAGGAAAGAATGATTCCCTCCTCCCATCCGCAGGTCTTATCCACAGCTCAGGATCATTCCCTCAGCAGTTGTACCTCAGTGCTGGCTTTGAGGACCAACCACGCCCATCTCTTCATAAGGCAAAATCAGTATCTGCTGGGGCAGGGCTCAAATTAGGCTGGGAAGGAGATCCCAAGGGAGTCTAACCACTGGGTGCCCAAGCTATTTTTCCTCATCCACAGGACAGACCTCCTCTGAATACAGAGAGAATTCAATTTACAAGGACTATTCTTTTCATTTAAGAAATGAACTTATCTTCTCCTCTCCCATCTAAAAAACTACTTGGAAAAGATGTTTTTCCGTTCAAAAATTTTCTGGTTGTCTTGACCCTAATTTACAAGGAGTCGCGGTGTTTAGTAAAAGACCTCAAATGATATTCCAACTTTTCTGGCAGAAGGATATTTTTACAGGAGTTGACCTTGGCACAAATGATGTAAAAATGGTGAAGCTGGATTTAGTCAACTTTTAACATGAACTGCAATGGGATGTATTCCACAATGGAGGGTTGCAGCTGTGACAAGGATAAACACTCCCCTTCAGTCAGAGCAGCACTGTGTTTGCTCCTGACATGATCTGCTGCCTCTGGTAACCAGCAGTTAGTATCACAACCTCATTCTTGCAAAGGCCATTTTACAGCAGCTGCACCCACTGTCAACATTTTAGAGATTTATTTTAGTATAGGACAAGGCGAATACAGTCAAACCTTGAATTAACCAGAATTGCATTGAAAAATCCTTAAGCCATATCAGATGCCTCTAAAGGAAACAAAAAGGATCAGCCAATATTATTTATCTCCACATAATCTTGTATTTTCTTTTCGGACATAAGTAGAGTGATGTTTAGACCTCTACCTAGTTACAATAGGATTAATAATGTTATTAATACTACTAATATGATTAATAAAATGATTAAAAATAAAGATAATAATGTCAAAAGATTCTATAAACTAGGGGATAGCCAGAACTCTGATTTCATTAAGAAGACAGCACTGAAAAAAATACTTAATTTTAATTTTCAAAGCAAAGAAATTCAAAGCTTCTTCAGGTAGTCAAAGATTATGTGACTTACAGTGCAAGCAAATCACATAGATTTTTTTATAATGTGTCCAAAATGGAACACTGCCACATGACAAATATTATCCAGGAATTATTACTGTGTGCTTTAGGTAGCTATTTCTTATTTCTTATTTCTTGTATAGCACGTAATAGCAAAATGCGTCTGAGCTTTCAAGTGAAATTGATTTAACTGGCTGGAAGTCCTCACTTTGCAATGTTAGTAATTCAGTTATCTTTGTGGTGCTTTCCATACACTGAAGAGCTAGAAATAGTAGGCAATGATTCTTTCTAAAATAAATGTATGTATTCAAAAGGAATATCAGCAAAAAATAAAACTGAATTGAATGGAAAAATCTTTAGGGCAATTAAACAGCTTGCAAAAAAAAAGAGGAAGAATATATTAATTTAATTTTTAGATTTTAAAAAATATTTTTTGAGGAAGTATTAGAAAATAATGTTTAAAATGTTTACTTAAATCCTTCATCCAGTTTCTTTTGTATGCCGTATACATGTTTTCATTTCGGGACATTCTTAGACATTGCACTTCTGGATGCATAGCCCAGGGAATTTTTGAAGACCTTTCTCACTCAAGTATCTGAAATAATTATCAAGGACCATAGGAGTATTACTTGGTTCTTTCAAGGCACTTCCAGACAACTGCTGCAAACCAGGAGTGCTAACAAATTTACAGAAATATCAAGACTGAATAGGAACACAAACTGTACCGCACCTTTGAATTCTTTGAAGTGCATAACTACTCTTACACTTTTGCAATTAAAGGATATAATACATGTAAGGATTTCTCTTGCTCAAAGCACAACACATGACTGAAAACATACTCTGAATGTGGTTAGTGGAATGATACAAAACAGTGGTCTTCAGCCTTACACAACTAAAAATGATACATAAATAATAATTTTATCTTAAAATAAGCAGACTGCATTTCAAGTTCCTAAATCAGACTTTTTTCTATATAGCTAATGAAATACTTTCAGAATGTGCCCTTTTTTCATGTTGTTTTCTCAGAAATACGTTGCTTACATCATTACAGTCATCTCTTTCTTAGAATATGTGAATCTTTGCTATGTTAACTTTATTACTAGTATGATCTATCAATGGATTCCTGCTGAAATTTAATATCTTGCACAAAGTTCCAAATCCTAAAGCTAGCCACTTGTTACTTCACACACTGAATGCAAAACTGTTTTACTTAGTACATGACTGATTCTTCATAATTCTCTTGAGGAAACAGATGAGTCTAGACAAATTCTTGACTAGAAAACCTGCAATTTCAGGAACTGAAAGAGATTGCACACATCTAAACTCAGTATAGATTATGCCACTGACTCACATGCCTCCCTTCTCAAAAGTCAAAAGTTGCATAATGAAGATACCACAAGAAGGGAGTCAATTTAGCTTTACCTGCTTTATGTCCAGTGGCTTTATCCTGTCATAAACTTCCTAGATTGTCCTTCTTATCCATTTTGAACTTGTATTCTTATGAATGTTCCTATTTTTTTTGTTCAGTGCACTTCATAAATTTTAAGAGAAGACATGAGATATTTGAGGACTGGAGTCTCCATCAAAAGTGAATTTTGGCTCCTCAGTATCTTCAACACCAGCATGCTCTCATGATATATTAACTTTCAAACCACATTAATTTCAATGACCAAAAAAAATATTTGTGTGTGAAATGTTTAGCTAGGTTTAATTTCCTTCATGCGTCTGCTGAATTTTTACAACGTAATGAAAAAATATGAAACACAAGTAAAGGAAAAGAGATGACCCAATCTCATCATCACTACATGAACCAGAGAGATTTTGTTATGTGACAATATGATCATCATCACATGTGAGAGCTTTAGTCGACAAGTATGAAATAACTGTATTATCCCTCCCCACCACCACCTTGACAAATTCCATTTATATTACTTTTTCCTCAGGAATAAAAAAGAATAGTGTATAAAAAAAACCACACACCACCTAAGAGTTTAAGGACCAGCTGCTTCTGTTTAAACCCAACAGTTTCAGCATTGATGCAGCATAGCTAGGGCATGATGTCATGGGAAGGGCCAGCAGAATATGCTCTGGTTGATCTTAAAAATATGTAGGGGTCTAGCCTCACCTCTCTGAGTGTGTGTGTAATACCCATCAGTGGGAAAGGCAGTTGCTCACATGCAGAGAAGAATATGAAGTAGACTAAATAATCACGGTGGATAGAGAAGTGTGTAAGTTCTACCAAAAAAAAGACAACTATTTACTTTTTCTTGCTACAGTACACCAAGGACTTTTTTTGTAAAATTTAAGACAGAAAAAAGTATTCTAATGTTTCCTGTTTGGTTTTATATGACCCTATGGTGACGGTACTAATGCTTTTATTCCATTCCCTCTATTCTCTCTCTTCATCCATTCATTAAACTGTCCATCCATCCCTTACTTCCTTCCTAGTTCTATAGTTTGATATGCATGCATGGAGCTATTTGTATTGTGTATAGTCTACTACATATTTAATAGAAGATTTTCTTGTTTTAAAAAGTTGCAGGGAGGAGAAATCAAGTGTAATAAAAGCTGCAGCTTACAAACAGAAGTACAATACACATGTTCACAGACACACAGAAAAAATAATGTCAATTATTATCTAGACAGTCACTTAAGAGGATGGCAAAATATATACTATTCTGAATGTCAGGAAAAAATTAAAATCTTATTGTGATAAAACTCTCTCAATGTCATGGGAACACGATTGTCACTTGTCATTACTCTGCATCTCTCTATTTCTTCATATATCTTAAACTGCCTGTTCTTACATAATTCAACACATTTAATAATGTAAAAAATCAATTAATATTTACTGACCTGTCTCTGCTTCTCCGTGATGGGAACGCAGCATTACAGCCAGCCACTGTGCAGACATGCATCTCTTTTAGGTGAACGTTTCTGTAGTGAAGCTTCACACTGTAGGAACTCTTGAAACTTTTCTTGCACACATAGCAGATCTTGGGATCTGGGCTGGAGCACATTTCACCTTCTGGGGAGAACTTCTGAGGGCTGCTGTAGTTGAATGTAGAAGCGAAACTTTCATGAAGGGCAGCCATACTGGCACTGCCTCCATTGTACAGTCCATATTGGCTCATGTAGAACATATCATATGTAGGGTCTGTATACTCTTCCTTTACCTTAATGACATCCTGGTTGGAAGAGTCATTATGGTTTTCATCAGGTCTGTCACTGTGCATCATAGATTTTTCACCAGGTTCATGGAGGCGATCATCACCTTCCATGGATTCCTCACACAATTTGGGCTCTGACGACTCTGATTCATTTTCATAGTCTCTCTCATGCTCCTGGTCTTCTGATGTCATGCTGTCAGCTCTTCTTATTTCTGGTCTGGAAATGCATCTGCTCCTGTCACTTTTGGAAAAGTCTTTCACAGACAGGCCTGGGCTCATTTCCTCCTGAGAATGGCAGTGATTGTCATGACCAATGTCATTCACCATCGTGCTGCTGTCATTTACCTCTTCATCTTCATCATCAAACTCATCAGCAGTATCAATAACTTCCTTTTCAATTTTAACTGGCATGCTCGACTTCCTTGGCTTCTTCTTGGGAGCAAGGTCAGCATTAGGCTCTGGGGTGGGCATGAGCACTGAAGGTACCGATGACTCTGAAGGAGGAAGTGGATGCTGCTCCATGCCACTCACTGCCGGTATTATTGGACTAGTAGGGAGTGAGGTTGGAGGACTCACCATCTCTCCAGGAGTAAGTAAATTTCTGTAAAAAGGAGGAACAGGTTGGACAGTCTTTAAAGCCGGGAACACTAGCTGACTGGGAAGAGGGTTCTGTAGTACAGGATCTAGAGGAGGAGTGGTAAACCCCATCGGTGGACGCCCAGGGCTAGTTAAATTTAGATTGGATTTTGTACTGGCTATGACCGGAGTGGCAGCACCTGATGTAGCACGGATTAGATCTTTGTCACGGTTATTCCTTAGCATAGGCATGTGGAGGCGGGGATTTGGGTTAGCACTGTGGCGATTGCGGCTTCTGAGCGAGCTGAAGACCATGTTGCAGCCCTCAATAGTGCACCGGTGCTTGATTTTCAGGTGAACGGCATTGTAGTGGATTTTAAGAGTACCTTTGTCATAGAAAGTTTTGCCACAAGCATTGCAAAACACTCTTCCTTTCCTGGAGGCTGACCCCATTCTTCTCATTCTGTGAATGCGGAACGAGCTTTTAGTATGTTCTGTTTTCGATAAATCATTGACGGGCGTAGGTGTCTGAACAGGAGAGACACAGGCTGGCTCAGTTTTGGGCTCAACATTTGTGATGCTGGTCAAAGCATTCCGACTGGATGTTTGCTCATTCTTGAAAGGCGTGGGGGAAACTTCAGATTCACTGCTTTCATTATATTCATTTTGGGTCGTAAGGCTTGGTTCACGGAGCCTCATTGCTGGCTGTTCCAGCAGGAGGCCATTTGGAGGCAGCCCCAGCAGTGGAGCAGAGACTGGATTTATGTACTGGAATGGAAGCAAGAATGCAAGGCTATTCGGGATGTTTTCAAAATGATGAATGCTGGAAGGGTTGCTATTCTCCAGGTGAGCAAGGAGACTTGGGCTCCTGGTGCGATTATTGCTTTCAATAAAAGTCCTTATATCTGAATCTGTCTTTGAAGATGGCACAGCCACAGCCTGCCCTTCTTTTTCTTGAATTGCCATCAGCTCCACGATGGATTTGGTTTCTCCAAATCTCAAGAACTGCTGAAGGGTAATGATCTCTTCTTCCCTGGACATGATGGCCCAGCGGTCCAGAACCTTGCCTGCAGCATCCTACAGGCCATATCAAAGAAACAACAAAGACAAACACAAAGAAAAAACTTATTGATTCTGCATAATTATTTAACTCAATAGAAGGTGTTCTGCTGCCTGAACATGAAAACAAGCTCAAAAAACAACATGCAAACAGTATTAATGCATCTCAACCAAAAATACCAACTTTTAAGGCATGCAAATACCATAATTAGAGCCACAGTCACAGAAACGGATTGAGTTTAATATTGTCAGAACAAACAAAATGTAGGCCACAAGGCTCTGTGATCTAAAATGCTTTCAATACTTTTATTCTAACACCAGTGATCTATGTACAATGCTACTGTTAAGCACACATTAGCATAAAACACGAACTGCTGCTGTGCACTCCATCGTAAAATATAGAAAACTGCACCTTAAACACAGTTAAATGGTAATGATATAATAAAGAGCTAAATAAAAGCATTTGATAGATTTGCTGCTTAAATGTAAGCAAACATAAGACTGAGTCATCCATGGGCCACCTCACAAGAAATTTTGATGCAAGGCAAAAAATATTAAAAATAGCTCGTATCTTACTCCTTTTTTTTATTCTCTTCCCATCCCAGTACTGAAAAACATATTCATTATACACATTCATAAACAGGTAGAAACTGGGGCACTGGCTTTAAGTATAACTGGTCTATTAATAGCAATTCATTTTAAGCTTGCAATCTTGGTATGGTTTAGACTTAAAAGATTACCTTTTTGTAGCCTTGTTATAAACGACAGTTAAAAATATGTAAAAAGTAAGCGTTAGATGGATGTAGATAGCATAAATGTGTAAAAATGTTGTCTCTTAACATCGCCTTCTGATAGCAAGGGAAAAATCCAGAGAGAATACACATCAGTAATCACTAGACTATCTGTTGTTAAATATACATTAAAAAGCATTTCACACTTTCATTTTTGCTAGTAAGCATGAGATTTGCCTGAAGGTAGGACTTAAAAATTCTGCAATGTAATGTCAGGCAGTCCATTCGAGTATATATTGATAAAAACACATTAAAATACTTATATAATGAATACATCATTTTATTGGCATCTTTCCTTTTGGGCAAATGCTGGTGTCCTGGGTTTAGCTAAAACCCAGTC